GTAGGCACCGATCTTTGTTTCTGTGTGTGTGTGAGTCGCTCCGTGGTCCAGGCTGCCTTTAAAATAATGTACCTTTTTGTTGTGGCCGTGACCGGTGGAATCTGGGCATTCCACATCCCTGAATGACGCTAATTAATCTTTTTAGCCCTGGTAGCTGGAGACTTACGCCTCACTAGGACTTGACAAGAGATAAAAGTTTTCACTTTTTTTGATAAGTTTCTTAGTTTCGACTTTTTGAAGTTTCCTTTGGGAGGGACAGTAGTGAAAGGAGTCACCTCGCAGCTCTTCTAAAGCTCTGTAATCGCGTGATCAAACACTTGCAGTTACCTTCCTCTGCTTTCCTTCAGTTGATTTATAGAACTGAAATGCATTTGCTTTGTCAAGCTGCAGGATAAAATGACTACTCGAAGTAAATGCTCTCTGTTTTCTGCTGTAACGGGTTTGTGGCTTTGATTAAGATTCCTGTTTACAGGCCAGCCTGGTAGCTCAGCAGACTATTGTTATCATTAACATGCTGACCCTCGGCGATACCACGGGAGAGTGTTTCTCCCTGCTGAGGATGGCAGTTTGCATTGTTCAGGTAGTCAGATGTAATGATGCATTTGAACAGGGTGTGCGTGAGGGGGAGGCTTGAGTAATCTCATCTCTTGGTGGAGTGGGAAAGCGATGGTAGTACTAATTATTTTATTTTTTTTTGTCTGCACCTTTCACTCGGGCTCAAGTTGCATAATGAGCCCTCTCCTGTAGCAAAAGCAACATCTGTCCACCAAAAGAGGGTGGTTTCCTGCCTAAAATCCATCGGGGGGATCTTTAGCAGTGCTCGTTTTCACAGCATGTGAAATTTCACATCACAGTTCAGATGCTGCAAAGAGTCTCTAAGCAAAAACTTTCTCGGCTCCTTCCCCCTCTTCTGGGCACTCAGAGTTTTCTGGGAGAATGGTTGCACGGAAGGGGCAGATGAAGGAAGAATGGGGAAGAAGATGTTCTTCCAGGGGTTTGCCATTCATTGTGGCTGATGACAACATCCAGACTTCGTGTTTGGTGTGCCGTGTCCCCCCCCATGCCCTTCTGAGGACTCTGGTCCTGTTAGGTACTCATGCAAACACAATACAGGAGACTCCCAGCCTGCATGCCGAGGCGTAATAGGTAAATACAGGAAAAGAAAAGGAAATACATAAAGAGATAAGTGTGACCAACTTTTTTCTGTCAAAATGTGCTTAAATTCCCTCAAGCATTTTTTTTCTTTTGAACACAACTTTTCCTGTTTGTAGAACATAGGTTGAAATGTTCTTTGCTCTCAAAAGTTCTCAGATCCTTGATGATTTCGGGCACTTAGTTGCTGCATTTCAAAACGCTGGTTGCAATGTTAATGTAAATAGATTACTTCAGTGAAGAAATGTGGGGAGGTTATTAGTGTTTTCAGGTAGATAAGAAAATGCAAATCTCGTATGTTTAGCACTGCTAGTGATTGCAGTCTCCTCGTCTGAGCAAGATGTCTAGTAGCTGGTAGGAAAGGAGCCCCTTGTTTTTTTCCCCCATCGTGGAGAGAAAGGGATGTTATAAGTGGCAATGATTTGCAGATATTTCACAGTTTTTCTTGTGTTATCTAGTATAATAATTTCCTGGAGGTTTAAATTTTGGTTTTGCACTGAAGATCCAGCAGTTATGATATCGTTGAAGTGTACAGTGCAGTTTCTAATGTAGCCGATGTAACTTTTCCCAATAAATGCCTGGCCCCTCCCCCACAAGCTGCAAAGCAAAAATGACGAGTACTGTAATGTTGAAATTGGATCCAAAGGGATTTAGCAAACTGAGCATTTGCCATATTTAGCGTCATCAAAGTTCCTTCCTCTCATACTTCAATGATGCTTTGCTGATCTTCTGATTAGTCTGATATGCTGTTTCTCTTAAATCACCTACGTGACTATTCCTAATCCCTCCCCCCCCCTTTATCTCTTCTTGGGTGAAATTCGTGCATATACTTTAATACTCCTAAATTGACTCTGAGGAAAAAATAATAAAGCTAAAATGTGCATTTGGTCTGTATCAGGCTGTGCCATTGATTTGCTCAGGAATCTGTGATACTGTGTTCCTTTCCCTGCACATTGGAACTGACAGCTTGTAGCAAAGTCAAATAAGATGTTTAACAAACCACATGTCCTATCGTTTTTAGCTTTGCCATTGTACCCTTGTGGCCGTGAGCCAGAGACAGATACAACACCTCCTCCAGCACGATGCAACTGTGCCTGTGTTTTGTGTGCACACGTGTGTATGTGTACGTAGTCTGTTCCACATTTCTCTCTCTAGCGGTATGGTTAGCTGGAGAAACCTGGGCTGAGCTGCCCAGAACAATTTGAAACTGAGTTTTGAAAGGGGGGAAAAGAACCCAACGATTTTTTTGTGAAAGGTGAAGATGCTTCTCTGCTCTGGGGCAGTTCTTCCAGGGAGCGAGAAGGTGGATTGTCCTGGTGAATCAAAGCCACAAATGTCAGTGTCCCGGCACAAATGCTGAAGTTGGTCAGAAAGAGAAGACAGCTTGCTGTGCCACTTGATATCTGTCTCATCTGTGGTGTTGCCATAGGCTTTTGAATGCCAACTGCAGTAGTTAAAGTCAGGTATTTGTTGCTATGCATTAAAAGAAAAAAAAATAAAAATCCCAAATAATTTCGTAAATCTCTTTCAAAGTCCATCCTGAAACAGATCATCAGAGCTTACAGTTGTGACTGTGGCAGGATGGTTTTAAACAAGGGGGACACCATGCTGTGAATTAAAATAAAAATATGGTTAAAAAACATAAATAAGATATTTTTTTTCCAATTTATGTACTTAAAACGAGCAAAAGAAATTGGCCTGAGAACAATACCTGGATTTTAGCCTTGCTTTGGCTCCCGCTCCTTCTCCATCATCCTTGTTCCCTGGCATTTTTTTGCAGTTACTGTCGTTCTCTGTGTATTAACGTCTCTCTGCACGATGCCCGTTCCTTTTCCTTCTGGGCATTTAACGACTCAGGCATAGTTCTGAAGTCTCAGGGTCTCTCTGAGCTAGCGATTTCACTCTGTGCCCTCCTGCCTACTCCTTACACTCGCCACGCTCCTGTGCGTAGCGAGCAAATGAGCACCAAAGCAAGCCCCCGCACACGCCATCTTTCTGAGCTCAGCCTGCCTGCTGCTTCACGGGAACTTACCCGATTCTGCAGACGTAGTTATTGAGATTGATCACAATAGTGAAACGTCTGCCAAGCTGTGTTATTTGCACAAATACACTGTATGCAGTTTTGGTACAGTGGGGCTTGATGCAATGATTGCCTCTTTTCATAGCGCTAGTTACGGCACGTGTCATCATTTAGAAGGGGGAGAAAACCATTTTTAAGAAGTTTGCTCTGCTTTTGGCAGGGGAAAACCATACTAGTGGGAAAAACCTAATTAAGACCAGTTGTACTCAAGTCTTAGCAGAATGTTTAACTTAAGGCGCTGTGAGTTAGTCCCATAAAAATCAATGAGATTATGTAAAACAATTCAAATAACACCACCTATAAAATTTAAGAAATAACCCAGTCACGTAAGCGGCCTACGAACCCTTGAGAGGAAAGCTGGCTGCCAAAATTTTCAGAAGTGATGATGGTTTTAGGCCAATTCCATTTTGGGATTCTCAACTGGAGATCTATTAATGAGAGCCACTTTGTCAGGAGGTCCTCGACGGTCCATTCCCTGAAAATGAAGCGTGCCCAGCACTGCATCCAAAAATTAAGACATCCTAAATTATTGAAAATTCTGGCCACTCATGTGCTTATTTTAGGAACCCGTATTCTTCCCCGATTTCATCTGCAGGATTCATCTTGAACTGAATTGGTGTTCATCAAAAGGAGAATTAAAGCTTTTGAACCTGATTCTTATTTAAACTAAGGCCACTTACGAGTGATTTTGCGATACACGAGCACCGTAAAGTAGAATTTATAATCACTCGAATGCTCCTTTACACAACTGGAGCTGTGTAAAGTGGCCTCGAGAGAAGTGAAAATCAAATCCATAACTTGCTAACTTCCATCTCAGAGGTTGCTCTTTCCATGCGAACCGCTGTGCCGTGGCAGTCTGCACTCGTGGCAGTACCCGCAGCGGGCACAGCCTAACGGGACAGTTGTTTGTTTCAGTGTTAAACTCCTCACATTTTTTTTCCCTCAGCTGTATACTTCCTCCTTCAAGGGCTTTATTGTTGTAGCGTTTCTACATCGTTCTCAGCGTTCTTAAAGACAAAGTCAGAAGGCCGCTGCCTGGTCATCTGCCGGAAGGAGAGTAAAGCTGCTTGGGCAATTTGAGAATAGTAACCGTAACCGTCCCGATTCCTGCGAGGAAAAACTGAAACATAGTTGTCTAGATGGAACTTTTTTTTCACTTGAAAATCTTGGTTTCAGGAAATGTAATTGGTGCCCTCAGGCCTTTTTCTTTTGTTTGTTTGTGGTTTTTTTGTTTTGTTTTGGTTTGTTTTAAATTTTGAAGAGGCAGCCTTGTGAAACAGCAGAGCTTTCCTTGAAACTGCACAGGAAACAAACCTGGTTTTTAATCAAGTAACAAAATCCACGGCTTGCAATAGAAGGTCCCTGCATTGCATGTATCAATTAATGCTTATTAATCAGTTTTTGCAATTAGTTGAACTGCAGATTGTAGTTGGAAGCTATTAGGGAGAGAACTGCGAGAGGAATACTGCTGCAGGACTACACTCAGTTTTTCTGTTTGTGTCCTTTGGATTCAAGGTGTTTGTATAATGAAGTTGGCACATTGATATATGATCTATTTTTTAATGTCATTACAATTTTAGTTCCCTCTGCCTTTTTGTCATTGGGTTACATTTAAGCACAGCAAGATCAACTTTAAACTTCCTTACTCAACAGCTTTATTAGTTATAACGTACCGTGACCTTTCTCAACATTCTTAAAGAAAAAGATACAGTGTAATGTCACTTTACTTTGCTTATTGTTCTTTGTTGTGGTGAACAAAGCATTTTCT